TTGTAACCACACCAGCCCAGAGTTCCCGCCTAAAATAACTGGCGCGGACCTGAGTGAAAACTATCTACAGACCTGAGTGAAAACTATATACAGTATCCCCCTGTTGGCCCAGGGTGAAACTACACTACATAACAGAGAGGATTGTGCTGTGGATCTCATTTGCTGCACAGACTTTCTCAGTAACTTCTTCCAAGCATGGAAATGTGCTGGAGCCACTGCATATACCAAGAAAAGAGATGAGGATTATTGAAGTGACACCAGCAATACAGGATACATGCAGGTGGACCCTGCAGCATGTTTACTTGGAAGTAAGCTCCAGCATGTTCAATCGGTGCACCCATGAGGTTGCCATTTCGCAGCATCTGAATGAAATGGACAAAGCTATGGATTCTAACACTAACATTCTTTTAACACCATCAGGAATGTTACATCGTTTTAATATTAAAATGGCAGGTGGGAGACCTTGCCTAAGGAGTTGGGATATGTTTAGCCTGGAAAAGAGGAGACTGAGAGGAGATAACGATGGCCATCTTCAAATATCTTATCGAAGAGGGGAAAGGCTTGTTTTTTCCTGCTCTGGAGGGTAGGATTCGAACCAATGGCTGCAAGTTACAAAAAAGAAGATTCCAACTAAACCTTAGGAAGAACTTTCAGATGGTAGCAGCTGTTTGACAGTGAATCAAATTGGAGGATCTACAGGATCAGCTGGTAAAAATAATACTACCACCTTTTCTTTGGACCCTGTAGACCTGGCTTTGGATAGTCTCACCATCTGAATTTTTTGTTCCTGATGCATTAAGGTGGTTTTTTATTGGTATTAATATTTTATTGAAAGAATTTCAATTATAAAGAAATAAAAGTGTTACAGGAAAAAATAAGAAAACAAAATGTAGAAAGAAACAAGACAAAAATAGAACGTAACATGCGCATTGAGTTTGAGGGGTTTGAGGAGAGTTAAAAGGACCCAGAATGACTGCAAAGGTTCCCTAATAGTCACTGGTAAAGTTGCCAGGCACATCTTCTGTTCGGGAAATTACTGGTACATTTACATATAGGTTTCACTAAATCTCTTGCAAAGGTCAAGTTTCATTCTTATTTTACAACTTCTTCTTGAATCTCAGCATAAATCTTGACTTAGGTGTCTCCAGAATGGCACGATTTTGTGGGAGTCGAGTGCATAATGGAACTTGTTTTCTGCTTTTGAATACTGCTTTTTCTGTGTATTGAAGTGTTCTGTTGCCCTAATAGTGTAACAAATCCTCTACCACACACACACACACTGAACTCCGTGTGGTTTGGATATTGATGGAGGAAATGCACTGAAAAGCGTGGGATGATCTAATAGATCAACAGGAAGTTGTGTAAACACCCTAGAAGCAAATCAAACCAAATGCTCAATCAATAAAGACTGGACTGATGAAAGCCAAATAAAGAAATCATCTAGAAGAGTCTCTAATATTTGATGGTTATAAGAAAAACACTGCTCCTTTTTCCTTATGGGGTACCCAAGGGCCCATATAGAGTCCTTTTGTAGGTTCTCTATCAGTAGGAGGAAATAACAGAGGCCAACCATAGCAGGGGTAGGCAACCTAAGGCAACCCAATCGCCTTCTCAGTCTGGCCCACGGACGGTCCAAGAATCAGCGTGTTTTTACATGAGTAGAATGTGTGCTTTTATTTAAAATGCATCTCTGGGTTATTTGTGGGGCATAGGAATTCATTCATTCTTTATTAAAGCTGTTGCAACAGTGTGCTCCCCAGCACACACAGGAGAGGGAGGGACCCAGAACAAAGGTGTGCAAGCCCTTATATAGACTTTGAAACTACCCACCCTATGTAGCTCAAGACCACTCCCCAGAAACATCATGCATACATCACAGAAGGGGTGTAGCCCAAGACCATCCCCTTTCAATATTTTAAAGCTGTATTTTAATGTTGTATTTAAGTTGTAATCATTCAACTTGTTTTTATTATTGCTTGTAAGCCGCCTGAGCCCGACCTTGGCTGGGGAGGGCGGGGTATAAATAAAATATTATTATTATTATTATTATTAATAATACATCAGAGAAGGGGCGGACTACAACAGAAATCTGAGCGCGTTGTTTTTTCTCCTGTCTGCTAGGTTACTTGATTGGATTACCTGGGCATCCTGGCCACTCTTTTGTTTTCCTGAATCCAGGTGACAGGCTCACCCTATTCATAGCTTAAATGTGCCCTTAAGACATGATTTGTGAAAGAGACAATGGGGAGATCTCCCATTTCCTTCGACCTTGCAGAGAAATATTTGAGGTCAATTTGGAAGAGAGAAAATGGTTTCAGGACTTTTCTGTGGGTTTCAGACATGTGGTTTACATATTTGTATGTGTTTGCTTGGTACATTTATGAACATCTATTTTATATATAGAAGACCTTAAAGTTCTCATAACAAGGGTAAATTTCAAAGTTCCACACAGAAACCTGCTGGTCCTTAAAGTCCCTCAAAACTCTTGGTATTTTACTTCAGTTAGCACTAGCTCATTTGTTTTAAATTATTGTAAAGTGAGCCTTTACAATGTATCATCACTGTAATGAGCTGCACAGCATGGCTTTTTTCACTCCCCATTTATCTGGCTAGCAGATCTGCAGTCATCTGCAAGCATCCTACTCACGCACGCTCAAAATAAGTGTGACCTGCAGACCTGCAACTCTGAGAAAGCTTGGTAGTGTTTTGATTGTTCCGATTCTTTGTTGCTTACAAAGAAGTTGATGCAGCAAGCTTGTCTTACGGAGGAAAGTGTGGTTGCCCGCAGATTCTTCCAAGCATAAACGTGATTTATCACAAAGAGGCACAAAACCACCTTGCAGAAACTTTTTTTAAAAAACAAAACTCCAAGGCAGCAGAAGGGGGGGGGGAATGCACACAATAATACTATAGGACTGCTGGAACTGCTCAGTGGTACCTCGGGTTAGGTACTTATTCATGACATAAATTCTTAAAAGAGAAGAGTGTCGTACTTTATGGGTTTCCCCCACCCTTTTCAACTAAGCCTTCCAAAAGAACTGGAAGAATTGTTGTTCATCTGCATAAGGACATCAGAAGAATCCTGTTGGATCAGGCCCATCTAGTCCTGCCTCCTCTTCTCAAAGTGGACAACCAGAAGTCACTGGGAAGACTGCGAGCAGGACCTAAGCAGAGCAGTCCTCTCCTCACTTGTGTTTCCTAGCAACTGGCTTTCAGATGCATGACCCCTACTACAAAGCCATCGTTGCCAGCAGTCATTGATAGCCTCATCTGTGAATTTGTCTACAGTGGTGCCCCACAAGACGAATGCCTCGCAAGACGGAAAACCCGCTAGACGAAAGGGTTTTCCGTTTTGGAGGTGCTTCGCAAAACGAATTTCCTATGGGCTTGCTTCGCAAGACGAAAATGTCTTGCGAGTTCCTGCAGGGTTTTATTCCCCCCCCCCCTTTTTCCCAAGCCGCTAAGCCGCTTATCAGCTGATCCGCTAAGCCGCTTAACAGCTGATCCGCTAAACAGCTGATCCGCTAAGCCGCTTAACAGCTGACCGCTAAGCCGCTTATCAGCTGATCCGCTAAGCCGCTTAACAGCTGATCCGCTAAGCCGCTTATCAGCTGATCCGCTAAGCCCGCTAAGCCGCTAATAGCACTAATCCGCTAATGGGCTTGCTTTGCAAGACGAAAAAACCGCAAGACGAAGAGAATCGCGGAACGGATTCTTTTCGTCTTGCAAGGCACCACTGTAATCTCATTTTAAAGTCATCCAAACTGGTGGTGATTACTGCCTCCTGTGGGAGCAAGTACCGTAGTTTAACTATTTGCTGTGTGAAGGACTCTCTTATGTTTCTTGAATCCTCCCAAGATTCAGCTACACTGGATGTTCAGGAGTTCTAATACAGTGGTACCTTGGGTTACATACGCTTCAGGTTACATACACTTCAGGTTACAGACTCCGCTAACCCAGAAATATTACCTCGGGTTAAGAACTTTGCTTCAGGATGAGAACAGAAATCTTGCAGTGGTGGCGCGGTAGCAGCAGGAGGCCCCATTAGCTAAAGTGATGCTTCAGGTTAAGAGCAGTTTCAAGTTAAGAATGGACCTCTGGAACGAATTAAGTACTTAACCCGAGGTACCACTGTACGTAAATGAAGAAAGTGGATCAAATGGTTGCAGCAGAGAGGAACTCTGGATGCATAGTTAGGGTGCATGCCCCAATCCCTAGAATTTGATGGGGGAGCAGTATCTGTTGGGATGTGAATGCTGTGATTGCACCTAAAAATATTTGCACCTACAAACAGTTAAGAAACCGTTGGTCACAAAATGCTTTACCTCTCCAATGCTACAACTCTGAAGCCTCACAGCTTGGAGAACTGGGCTGTGGAAGCAACAAGATACTGTGTTTTCATGGTGCTTGAGGTTGAAGAAGACGGATAGTGCATTACCTCCAGAAGTCAAGCGCTCTGCCCCGAGTCCTGGGGTTTTTTAAGACCCCAGAAAAAGATTAGTTTTACACACAAAAAAGCATGAGATGGGTGTTGGGGCTCATGTGCAGACCTGTCTTCTCTTTGCAAAAATCTAAGCATCAAGCATTTTGTGGAACTTCTGCAAGACCTCTCCTTCAAAGTGGCTTGTCTCAGACTCAGCATTGTAAGATGCAACAGCCACAATATTGAATCTTAATGGCTTGGAGCTCTCAACACACTGTGCAGCTCCCTAATCCTCTGGATGGGGCAGAGCACAAGTCTAAACCAAATGCATCACCACAGAGACTCTATTCCTCCACTGAAAACTGACACAATACAAGACACGCCATGGAATCCTAAAAAAGAGAGAATATTTATTTTGGTTGTAAAAAAGTGCAATTGCATTGTTGAAAGAGACCAACCCAAGAGGTTGCCACGGAGCACTATTTTCATGCAACAAAAAATCTTTCACAAGGCTGAAAGGAGGGGCAGGTCTGAGATCCTCCCACAGCTCATTAAAAAGGAAAAGAAAGACAACCAATTAATTATAAAAGCCTTTATCGTTTGTAGTTGCAAAACAAGCAATTTTGCCCAGAACAATAATTGAGGAAATATACAATTATCTGTACTACTTGCAACCCCATTTATTAAGCAAAATGCAACTTTATGAGCATCATTCAGATTAAAGCAAGTCCCAAAATATCCACAACCTTCCAAAGTACAATCATATGGAAACTACCTCTCTGCAACGCTGGTACCTTTTCAAAGCCATACAGAATCTCGATTGCTCACCACCTGTCTGGCTGAGGAAAATGATGGTAGAGTTCATAAGAAAAAGGTTCACCTGAGCAAAGGTAGGCAGTGTTAAGCATCTCTGGAGTGATACCCTTAGGAGACTAGATGCCAAGGAGAAAGGGTTCTTCAGCTCTTAACAGTCAGTCCAAGACACGGGTGGAGAACTTGTGCCCTGCCAAATGATGTCCTGGCCAGGCTCTCAGGGGCTGATGGGAGCTAGAGCTCCCAAATTCTCATCCCTGGTCCAAAAGGAAGTTTTTTCTCTGGTTCAGCTCATGAGGTGTGAAGACAGCTGATGAAACTACTAAACCAGCCTTCACGCAGCCTGGTGGCATTTATGCATTTTGGACCAACTACTCCCATCACCTCCAGCCACCATGACCAAAATTCAGTGGCAATGGGAGCTGTAATTCAAACATCTGGAGGGCACCATGTTGGGGAAGATGGTCTTAAAAGGAAAAGGATCCTTGCCATGTTCACATCGGGGTCAACCAAGCCAGCACTATTTATGCCACTGTATGCTAAGAGAAACAGCCAAACCTTGGGACACCCAAGGAGGCTCAGGCAGAACAAAACTGTGTGCATGTGTCTATTGCAGAGCTCTTTTCCACACAAAGAACTCTCACGAACCCAACTCCATCTTTGCACTGAAGGCAAGTACCTGAGAGCAGCTTCTGAAAAGCAAAGAGGCTGACCTCTTTATGGTTTGCAGAGTAAAGATGGTCAGTGCTCCTGGAAAAGGTGGGTGTTCCGTTCCCAAGCTAAATGCTCTTGTGCAAGAAGGTAAACTGAAAACATTTCAGCAAATGGGGAGTTTAAAAACCTCTCTTGTTTGCAGAGTGCCGCAACCTGAGGAGAGCAAGGGAATGACAATGGACAGCTCCTGAAACAGAGGAACACCTGCTGCTTTCAGAGCTGTTCAGGTGTTGGACAGGCATGAAGTCTCCTGTCCAGGTACCCACAAGAGTTCGTTCTCCTGCATCAGCCTCTTTCTCAGAGTCAGGAAGTGGCAACACTTGCTAATTCTGCTTGCTCAATGTGGTCAACTGACGATTGGATTGTGTGTGTTCCCCTGCATCAATCTTTGTTCACTAGGCCAGTTTCTGGAGTTGGTTGCAGGTCTTAGGAGGAGACGGCAGTGGATTTTCAAAGTATGTTTGAAGAAATGGGAGAGTAGAGGAACTTGGGGCCACAAACAGAGACAGTTCAGAGCAACTGCCCATCCCCCACTACAGCTTGAGGTTTAGTGTCTTGGTTTTTTTTGGCAAGAATCCTCTTCAAATACTGCTATGGCTGCCAACGTCTCAGAAAAACATTGAAGTAACAGAACTGGGTGAAAGGGAGCTCATAATTCTTTTCACACAACAACAGGTCAGCTAGTGGCCCAGAGTCTAATTCTGGCCCATGCCAGGAAGCTCCTGTCTATTTTATTAACTGCCAGGCCTGTATGAAATAATATGAGATGGTTCAGGAGCCTTCCTCATAATTCGGGGAAGGGAGAAAGGTGCTTGCTAGCTCTGCAGCCCCCTCCCTCCAATGCCACCAGAGCCAGCAGAAATCACCTTGTCAGCTGCTCTGCAGATGCTGGCAACTGATGCTCTACTCCAACATTAGCTGGAATTCTTGGCAGGTCACAGGACAAAACTGTTGCTACGTTTTTAGGTAGCCTGCAGTCATTCTGATGCAGAGAAAACCCAAATTCATTGAGCAGGTCGGTTTTAAAATACTCCTCAACAGATATTGCATTGTTATGTGCACGGCTGTGGCTTCAGGGACAAGGTCCACTGAACAGGATGCTGAGGGTAACCGGAGAAAGCTGACCCTCCAGAGGCAGCCCACACTGGGGAGAAAGCATGTATGGTACCAGTCCCTGTTACACCCAAGTAGGAGCCGGAGGGCTGAGAGAAGAAACCAGGAGTTGGGAAAGGAGCTGGGATAGCTCAGTCAGTAGAGTATGAAACTCGGGGTCAAGCCCAATGCTGGGCAAAAGATTCCTGAATTGCTGAGGGTTGGACTAGATGACCCTCGTGGTCTCTTCCAATTCTATGATTCTAATCTGGTCCCTCCTCCTGCAAATGTAGCTTACTGAGAGACAGCTATGGAGGACCAGTTCCAGGGAGGAGGAAGGTCCAAGGAGGTCCTGGATTATGCAGACCCCTGGTGAACTTTTAGATTTTAAAAATGCAGACTTTTAAAAAGCACTTCAGATATTATTATTATTATTTAAAAGTAGGGTGGAGCAAAATGCAAAGTGCAGAGACAACTGGGATAAGAAGAGTTGGAGAAGAAGAATGATTCACAGTATCAGGCCAGCCTCCTGCATAGCTGCATGGAGTTCTTCTGGAACAGATGACCAGACAGACAGACACCACTATTCTAAATTAAATGCAACAAGCTGAAAAGGGCCTGAAAACAGGAAGCAGAATGGGATCTGTGCCAAATCTGCATTGTACATTCAGCAGCTATAAAATTCACAAATACTTATTAGTAGGGCTGCAATGTTTAATCAATTAATGGGTAATATTAATCGATTAAAAAAACCCCATGCTTTTTGACAAGCAAAAAAATTGCAGCAGACTGACATGCATCTGTAGCTTGTTATAAATTATAAAAACTGTAGATGACAAACGGAATCTTAAGCGGCATTTCTTTTATACCCCACACTCCAAGCATACGTTCTTTCTAGATGTTGTCTGCATATGTCATCATCTTAGTAGAGGTAGAGGCAGGCTGTGGGACACATGTCCCCCCGCCCCCCCAAAGCACAGCCTGCCTCTCAGGCATAAATTCCCTCTGCTGGCCTTAAACCTTGGTTAATGTTAACCAGAGCCTGAAGTAACCTCCTGGTTAAGGAATATTATAGCTGAGCAGGGTGGTAGGAACTGAAGTGGCTTTTAAATGGCTAGAACATATCATGTTTCTAGGGACATGTTTCCTAAAGTTAAAAAGACAGTTCACATCTCTCTGGTGGCACTAAGTCATTTGTGTTGGGTTTTCAGGGACAGGCTTGCGGCCTGGGGCAACCAAGAAGCCACTGGAGGTGACCAGGCAGGCAAGTTTTGCTTTGGAAGCCATTAGCATGCCATTAAGATGTGTGGGCAGGCAGGCTACTGAACTTTTTGCTGGTGGGCTAGTAACTTTTGTGAACCCCTTTGCAAGGCTAACACACAGCCTAGAGCTTAAACTAGCTGCACAGGAGTTAAAAGGTTTCTGTTTAAGAACAGAATGAGCAAAGCTTAAAGAAACACTCTCCTGTGTAAAGGGGATGGGCGTGTCAGCATATCTTGGCTTCCCAAAGGCTACAAAGCTAGAGCGGATTTCACATTAACAAAATACATCCTGCATTCTGGGTACAGTTGTGAAAAATTTTAAATTTTCTCCTTTGGTTATGAATGTATTTCCCACCCCAGTCACCAGTAAGGATCCAAAGGACTGCTTCTGATGCACCTGAACATCTGCCAGGGTCCAGTGGGAGACAAGAAACACTATGCCCCTTTCCCCTTCCCAAAGCCATTTCAAAATCTGCAGGGGAAGAACGGGAGAAGAGCTGGTCTAGTCCAGCATCCTGTTCCCACCGTAGCCAACCAACATAGCTTAGCTCTGGTTCAAAGGCGATTTGCCTTTTACTACGGCAGCAGGAAGGAACTTTATGCTCTGCTACCTGCCAATATGGGTCATGTGGGTGCATAAGTCTTAGCCAGTGAAGGCTGAAGCCAGAATCCCAAGTAGAAGGGAGACCAAAAGTCCAGTAACAAAATATAAAAGCAAGTTATATTTCACAAAGATGGAAATGCATTTCCCTTTTAACACATGGCCCCCTCCGTCCTCCTCTCCGAGCCATGATGCCTGAGGTCAAGTTGCAGAAAAACATCAGCACTGCATATATTTTCAGTATGTTGCATTGAAGGAGTGCTTCTATTGCTAGGTGCAGATATCTCACTCTGCGTAGTTACCTGAGTTGGCTTTCCCGTTTGACCAAACCCAAGCACAGCATTTCACAATTGTCGCCCTTGGCTCCCCCCACCGCCACACATCTTTCTCGGCCAAGTGCCAAGCCCCCCCCATGTGCTGGAAGTTGAATCAACCACAAGGAGGTCTCTCTGGGCCTCGGTAAGGCTTGGGCGTCTGTCGCGGCTTGAGGTCACGCTGTTGCCTTTGGTTAGGTTTCTGTTTTGTTGAGCTTGCGCATTGCCTCGGTAGCTTGTTCTGGCAAGCGAGACGGGTCAGAGAGAATGGAGGTGGTTATGCTCAAGTGGCGAAGAGTGTTCAAAACCACTAAGGATGGGAAGAGAAGCAAAAGAAAGAAACCAAGATTATTTGCCAAAAGAAGTGATGTAAGCTCAAGGGTGCTTTGCAGTAAAATTCCAACAAAGACACAAGCGCACATTCTAAGTGTGACCACAGCTGCACAAAAGAGATTCTTGCAAGAGAACAAGCCTATCATAAAAATACTATATTTTTCGCTCTATAAGACACACTTTTTCTCTCCTAAAAAGTAAGGGGAAATGTTGTGTGCGTCTTAGGGAGCGAATGCAGGTTGCGCAGCTATCACAGAAGCCAGAACGGCAAGAGGGATTGTTGCTTTCGCTGCGCACCGATCCCTCTTGCCGTTCTGGCTTCTGGGATAGCCGCGCAAAGCCTCCTCAGGGCAGCGGGAGGAACGTTCCCCCTACTCTGAAGAGGCTTTGCGTTGCTTTCGCAGAAGCCAGAACAGCAAGAGGGATCGCTGCGCAGCGAAAGCAGCAATCCCTCTTGCTGTTCTGGCTTCTGGGATTCAGAATCTTTTTTTTCTTGTTTTCCTCCTCCAAAACCTAGGTGCGTCCTATGGTCTATGGTCCGGTGCGTCTTATAGGGCGAAAAATACGGTGGCCAGCTTGGGCTGTAATGGACCCTGGTCTACTTTATGCAACACAGTGAACTGTGTATCACTCAAAACTATTGTGGACTGGTGGTTCCCCAGTCTGGAAGGTGGGCACACTACCTCTTCTACCGGGGGTTGAGCTCCCCGCAAAGGAGCAGCTGTACAGTCTGGTGTTGTTGCTTGATACCAACTTATCCCTAGAAGAGCAAGTGGCTCAGTCCTCTCTAAGCTGCGCCATCTTCTACCTCACCCCACATCCATTTTCTTTCCAAATACTTTTTTGTACTTCTGCCAACATTGGAGTTCCTCCAAGCCTGATGATACCCTCCCTCTTCTTTAGTCTACATAAGGATCCACAGTCAAAGAATGAGCTTGCTTTTAGCACGTGGGATCCTGCTGTTCCATGGGGCTTCCAGTTTGGTTAGTTTCAGTAATGTAGTAGGATCCATTGTTCCCCACCATTCAATGGGTCTCGGAATGTATACATTTTTGAAAAAAATCATGTCCATTATTGCTTGGTGCTAATCCTTCAAACTCATGTTTTTGCTCTCAAAAGCAATTTCCTCTTGACAACCAATTTGAGAGAAAATTTTGAATTCCTAGATATTCAGAATCATTTGACCACTATCTTGCTTTTAATCACCTCAGATTTTGGCCCAAAAAACCTGGGAAAACATGCTCTCCATTTGTCTGATATCTTCTATCTCTCCCAACCACCACAGGGCAAAGAAGGAAGTAAAAAATTATCTCTGTTAGGATCTCTGAATCTGCAGTGTGCATAGAGAGGTTTGGGTACTGATTCATTGTGTTCGGATTAGTGAACTTTCACATACCAAATGTTCAGAAATCAGGACCTGAGTGCACAGAATTCAAGTTGGCTTTTTTTTTTTTTAAGTGCAAACAGAAAAATCTCCCCCTAGTCCGGATGCTGCTAGACTAGGAACCCCCAGCTTCCCTGACCATCGCACGTGCTAATTTGGGCTGATGAAAGCCATACTCCAAATCAGACTACACCAGACTGGCTGAGTTAACAGCCTTGACTGAGACTCTCCACTGATGTTTCAGCTGCCACTATGATGCTCCAGGAGGGAATCTGTGATAAACACCCCCTTGGAAACTCCCAACTCCTTACTTACTTGGCCTCAGGACAGGCAGGGAGCAGTGCTGGTCTACCCACGCCAGTGCTGTCTGGTTCAACTCTTCTAAGCTGGTTGTAGAGACCATTCCGTTGAATGTTTCAAACAATGGGTTAATTATGATGCTGAACTGCACAGCAATGTGAGTTAAGGGGAAAGTAAATACACACTCACATTTTTGCAACAGAAAAGCACAACAGGGACTGTTCTAGAATTCATTGTGCATCTGGCTGAGAGCAGTTATGGCAGCTAAGTCTTGACAAAGGAAACACATTGCTTAAAATGGGGCACTGTGTGATCTGCTTTAGAAATCCCTAATGCTCATGTGCTTTCAGAACTCTGTCCAGAATCATGAGGACTAGGATAATGCACTTTAACAAAAATTAAAATTCTGGGGTTCTTTGGAAGCCACTAAATTTTCCATTAGAGGCCTGCTCCACTTCCTCACTTGCTTTCAAAAGGCCTTCATGCCATGAAGAATTGACTCATCTGAACGCCTTTTTATCTTTGTTATGAATGGTGGCTAATCAAATAAAACTGCTACACTACACATGGAATTCACGGCTATCAGATGTGCTGTCAGCTACTGGTGGCTTTTGAATGGGGTTGAGCAAGGTGATGGGCAGATCAGTCAACAGCGAATAAAAGCCACGGGGCAGCTGAATGGAACCTGGATGCTCAGAGGCCTGATAATTCAGAGCACCAGGCACAGGGGACAAGCCAGGGGGGAAGGCTGGCAGGGTCAGTGCCTGAATGAAGTGAAGAGTTCGCTGCCTCCTGCCAAAATGGGATGCTGGGCTGATGGTTCAACCCTGTATGGCACTTCTTGCACAGTCCACTACTTTGTAGTGGGGCACCCCCAATATGGGAAAGGCAACACAATGAGGCTTGGCTGATGCTTACAGCAAGAGCTTTTGGATACGAGGCAAACACCCTTTTATTCTCCCAGGCCTTTTAGAACTATGCTATTTGTCCACAGAATGGATTGTTTCTACTGGACTTTAAACTCTGTAATTGATACCTTGTGCTGGTTTGGGGGCAGGAAATTGAACTGCTCGTTTCAATTTATGTTTTAACGTTTGTACTTTTAGCATTTTTGAACTTGGTACAAACCACCCATAGGACTCTGTTGACTGGGCAACCAACAAATGCTCTAAGCCAGGCATGGCCAAACTTGGCCCTCCAGATGTTTTGGAACTACAACTCCCATCATCCCTGACCACTGGTCCTGTTAGCTAGAGATGATGGGAGTTGTAGTCCCAAAACATCTGGAGGGCCAAGTTTGGCCATGCCTGCTCTAAGCAAATAAATAAGAGATTACCCATCAGTTAACTTTCTAGCCATGTTTGATGCTGATGTCTCTGCAGCTGTGGCTGGACCAATCTAACTGGTAGAAGCAGGAGCTGCTTGGGTCAAGAAGCAGCAACTGGGGACAGCAATATTAGTTTCAGGTCAGTCCTGTCCATAGTTATGTTCAAGGCTCAGACACAAACAAGGTCTTGAAATAGAAAGAAAAGGAAAGAAAAGGTCTTGAAATAGAAAGAAAAGAAAAATGCTCCCTTCCTGCCAGAGCCTTCCTGTCTGATATACATCACAGGAAATGAGAAGTTTTAATCTTAAACTGAAGCCTGGAGAACCCCCTCCCATCTCTCCACTATGTCAAAGCATCAAGGCTTCCGATGAGTTGTCTCTCCCATTGACTCAACAAAATCCTCTTAGGCTTTTAAGGGAGTTCAAAACCTAGAGAGCGCAACACATCCTGCTTGCCAAAGTGGTTTCTGGATGACATGTTGCTTTCATTTTCAGGATGGGTGACCCTTTGCCACGAAAGATACCGGCCTACTGCCGTTTCCATTAAAAAGAACCCCAGCAACCTATAAGTCACTTTTGAAAGTAGGAAATGCTGGCAAGGCAGAAGGCAGGTTCACATGACCCTTAGGCTTGGGTGGATTTAAGGGACAATCTAGTGGCATGCCTTGACTGCTAAAGTTAAGCTAGAAATCTGCATCCTGAAGCAAGTGGCCTTTATCGCTAACTATGCACAAGACATTGGTGCCAACAGCTGGGTGCCCGGGAAGCTCAATGGCCCTTGGCTTGATGCAACAAAGCAGTTCTAAGGGCTCTTATGTCATGCTAAGATTCTGCTCTTAATTCTGTAGCAGATCACATGCTTTGCATGCAGAAGGGCCCAGGTCCCAGCGGCTGCAGTCGAAGCTTTTAAAAGACACCCTCAAGGAGCTGCCTGTCTGAGTAGATAGTGCTGAGATCAGTGAACTGAGATCAGGGTCTGACCAACAACGGCAGGCGCTCATTTGCATGCATGGGAAAAGGATACGATCCAGAACTTCCAATTCTGCAGGGTCCTGCTCCTGACGTATTCCTCAAACATGCTCCGCATCTGATCAAACCTGTGCCGTGTGATGGGAACACCTGTAGCCGGGAGCTGCTGCTGACAAGAACTGAAGAATAAAAAGAGAAAACTATGAAACGCTTCCCTCCACTGTTAGGTCTGGGGGCTTCCAGGCTGGTGTTCATTGCGGGCCCGGTCTGTGCTGCTCATGCACACAAATTTTTCTGCAGTGCTCACACAACACTGCCAGCCCATATTCCCCCATCCCCTTAATCTAAACTTATTCTTTCCATAAAAAATTCAATAGGCTTAAAAAGTCTGCAGCCAATGACCCATTTGTGGTAGTTAAGTCCCCACCTGGAAGTACCAATTGAAAGTAAAATATAAAACCAATGATCAGATAGGACTAAATAGCAAGAGATTGCTTTGTTCTGTTTTTCACCTGATCCAAACGAGGCCTTTTCAGGGGTGGCTCCTTCCTTACAGAAAATTTTCCCTTTTCAGCCATCAGAAGACCCTGCTTTTCTTCTCTGGGCTCAGAATGATTCTAACATTTTTACTGCTGTTGAGTATATGTCATACCTTGGGTTGAGGCAACCCAGAAGTAACGGAGCGCGTTGCTTCTGGGTTTCACCGCTCGCGCATGCACAGATGCTCAAAATGACGTCACGCGCATGCGCAGAAGCGGCGAAAAGCGACGCATGTGTGTGCAGACGTGCCATCGCTAGTTACGTTTGCTTCTGGATGCGAACAGGGCTCCAGAATGGATCCTGTTCGCATCCCAAGGTACCACTGTAATCAGATCAGTTTTAACAGTGATTGTGCCTATGCTGGTGGGTTTGAGGTGGCTCTGAGTATTGTGGCTGGGACAACCCAGCCAGAAGGGTGGGGTATAAATAAAAATTAGTAGTAGTAGTAGTGTGGTGATTTCTTTCAACAGCTTTATCCATTTGTTTGAAAACACTTTCAGGATCCTTTCTGGGCAAATGCCCATCCAAAGTGGCTTGCAGACAAAAGAAAAGATAAAAATCGGACAAAATTTAGAACCCTTGGCATAAAATTACAGAACTAGAGAGAACATTAGTTGAGCCAGACAGTTACCCAGCTAACAAACACCACCCCTGCAAGGTCTGTTGAAAAAGATCAGTCTTCAGAGTATTCCGAATGCCTGCAATGTAGGAATTTGGCAGAGTCCCAATGGGAGGGAGTCCCATAGCCATGAGGCCCCCGGAGAAGGACCCCTCCCTCGTGGACACCCACCTCACCAACCTGGAGGTGGGTGGAAGAGCAGGCACCAGGCTGGGAAGGCCAATGCAGCTGGAAACAGTTGCTGCGACAGAGAAAAGGCTTTTGGGTTGACCCAGCAGGTGGTATTACTTGAAGACAGAAGAAAGTGCTGCTACCCCTAACACCCAGTCCATGCTTGTGTACCAGGCAGCATTTACTGGGGTGTGCACTGGGACCAGTTAAGTTTCTGCAGAAACACAGCTGTGGGAATTCACTTCCTGAATCCCTTGTTTAGTAGTATTCTGACATCCTTTTGTGCCTATACTGGTCCTGATGGGAATGGTCCCCTGTCTCTGGTAGAAAGGGAAAGAAAGAGCCCATAAGGCTTTCAACCCTCACATGATGGCAGCATTCAGATCCTCAATCTCTTCCCGGAGGCGCTTGGCTTCTTCTTGCATCTGGGATCTCTCCTGTTGAAGCTTTGCGATATATTCCACCGTCTTCTGGAGTGTGAGGGCATGGCTGATCTGCAGCAGATACAAAAAGGCGCCCATTGTGAGTGAGCTCAGCAAACTTGAGAGTCAATGCAGTGAGGAGGGCAGAGTGTCAGTTCAAACCTGCACTCAACCAGGCAGCTCCCTAACCTTGAGTCATTCCGTCAGTTGCCCTCTCGGCCCAGCTTAAACCTTACAGGGTTGTTTTGTGGATAAAGGTGTGGGGAGAGAACTATGTGTACTGTGCCCTAAGGCTGTGTGCCTACAAAAGCTCAAGGAAAAGGAAGGAGGACGAGAAAACACTGGTGTGTGTCCATTTGTGTGTGTGTGTGTGTGCGCACACACACACACACAGCCATTTCTATGCCATGATTCTGTGGGAGTGCAGGAAACTTGCCGCATGTAGAAATGGGAGCAGATTTCAGCATCCTGAGAAGCATGTAAGAAAAGCCTGCTGGATCAGGCCAATAGCCCATCTAGTCTAGCAACCTGTTCGCAGTCGCCAACCAGATGCCTGAGGGAGACCCTCTAGGTAAAGGTAAAGGGACCCCTGACCGTTAAATCCAGTCACAGACGACTCTGGGGTTGCGGTGCTCATCTTGCTCTACTGGCCAAGGGAGCCGGCGTACAGCTTCCCGGTCATGTGGCCAGCATGACTAAGCCGCTTCTGGCAAACCAGAGCAGCGCACGGAAGCGCCGTTTACCTTCCCGCCGGAGTGGTACCTATTTATCTACTCGCACTTTGATGTGCTTTCAAACTGCTAGGTTGGCAGGAGCTGGGACTGAACAACAGGAGCTCACCCCGTCATGGGGATTCAAACTGCCGACCTTCTGATCAGCAAGCTCTAGGCTCTGTGGTTTAGACCACAGCGCCACCTGCATCCCGGTCTAATCTAGCAACCTGTTCTCAGTCGCCAACCAGATGCCTGAGGGAGACCCTCTAGCAGAACAAAAACTCCCCCCCACACACCCCAGTTTCCAGCAACTGGTACGCCAACTGTGAAGGCAGAGCACAGCCATAATGGCCAGAAGCCATTGAAAGCATTCTCCTCCATGAATCTGTTGAATCCTCTTTAAAGCTATCCTTGTTTCAGCAACCACGGTCTCCAGTGGGAGAGAGTTCCACAATTTAACTCTATGCTGCGTGAAGAAGTACTTTTATCAACAGCTTTCATTAGCAATACAAAACAAGCTTCTAGCCCTCACAGATGTAAATATATGATTCAAAGTGTGTAGGCCATGGCTGTTCAAATCACAGAAGCTAAAGGAGTGAGCCAGAATAAGATAATCAAGCGGTTAGGGCAGGGCTCCAGTTGCCTGAACAGCTCCTGCTCTTGTGACTAGCCAAATCAAAATAAATTACACTAATTAACTGGAAGTACATATGAAGACAAAAATCACTCCCATCCCAAATGATGCACATTTGCTGAATTTATACAGGTTGCCAGACTGTGTAAGTTCATACAGAACTTCACGATTTGGTGGATGCTGCCCACAGTAGTAGGTGAGAGAGATGGAGCAGGAGATGGAGGATCCCAGCACACAGCTTACCGATTTAGAGTTTGCTGACACCAAGCTGTTCAGGGTGCTAAAGCCGATCTTGATATTGAACCTTCGCTTCTGTTCTGCTGAAATATGCTTCATCCTGCGACTCTGTACCAAGTAGAAATGTGGCTCTTTTAGTTGCTTCCATAGATGCTGCCTTACTTTCACCATCAACCTCTACAGCGGAGCTCTGCCACAATACCAGGAAGGGCCCTTTCCCAGTGCCAACGCCAACCTCTTGGCACAACAAGGTTAATAAAAGACCAGAGACCAGCAGCTGTGAACAAGCCAAGGAACAGCCAGGCCACAGAAAAAGGTTGGTTAGGAAGGTTCAGAGTTCGCTGGACTCAATGACAACCAGGGCGAAGACTCCAAAGCAGCCCTGTTATCCTTTTGGCTTAAGGCAGCCTCTGCCAACCTGGTGTCCTCCAGATCTTTGGCACTACAGCACCCCTTAGACTGTGCTGGATGGCGCTGATGGGAGCTGCAGTTCAAAACAACTGGAGGGCACCAGGTTGGCAAAGGCTGCCTTAATGTAAACAAGACCAGGGATGTGTAAGAAAAATAAACCTTTCCCTCCACTTCCTCTGCAATCTTCATTGTACAGTGGTACTCCGGGTTACATACACTTCAGGTTACATATGCTTCAGGTTACAGACTCCACTAACCCAGAAACAGTACCTCGGGTTAAGAACTTTGCTTCAGGATGAGAACAGAAATTGTGCTCTGGCGGCGCGGCGGCAGCAGGAGGCCCCATTAGCTAAAGTGGTGCTTCAGGTTACGAACAGTTTCAGGTTAAGAACGGACCTCCGGAAGGAATTAAGTACTTAACCCGATGTACCACTGTACTTTTATTTCTATACTGTAAGCTCCTTGAGGCAATGACCTGCCCTCATTCTTTGTAATATAATCCCATTACTATATAAGCAACCATCCTTCAACCTATCCCAGGCTATCACATGCAGAACAGTGGATTCCTCCAGGCCATTAATGCTGTGAATAAAGGAACCACAAAAGGCCAAACCACCAACCTTAAAAGCAGTCATCTGAGGATCAGTTGCAGTTTTCCCTGAGCAGCTGTTCTGTGGGGACTGAGGGCTGGCACTGAGGTCCGAAGGGCATGGCGAGGCCTGACAGTCTCTGCCTTTGAAAGAGAGGGGGGGAGACAACCCACAATCAGTCCAAGGGAATTCCTGGCAACAGATTAAATGATCAAGCAGCAACCTCTCTAGGGATTTGATTGATACTCTGAAGAGCGTTCTTTTAAAAAAAAAATCTATTTTGTTTAAAATATTTTTATACCACCTTCCAAAGCAAAAGCCCTCTCAAGGAATAAAACCATAACACAAAATATACAGATGCAAGTGCAATCAACTAAAGGAGCAGCAGCGCTAAAATACCATTTCAATGCAATGGTCTGGTTCAGACATAATGCTAAAGTGAAGTTAATGTTAACCATAGTTTCAGATGAGGTACCTGGTAGACAAATGCTTAACCCTTGGTTTATTACATCGCAGTTAAAAACACCAGCCAGCTCTTGAGAGTGGTTTGAATTTGTTGCTGCTCTTTACTCTGTAGCTTTTGTGTTGGTGAAGACTTTTTAACCAGAGTTAAGAAGAAGGACCACATTCTCACATAATCCTACAACGTTAATTAAGGTTGATGAACCAACTACAAACCTTGGTTATGAGCAACCTTTAACCTGGGCTGGGTTCACACATTATGCTAAGCCAGTCTGATAAGCCATGCTCTTGCATTATGTGTGAACCAGGCCAATCTGGGGCTCCTTGGAATGTCTTCATTATTTTTTTCTCTGTGTCAGTAACAGTGGCGTAGCGTGGGGGGTGCAGGGGGGGCCGGCCGCACCAGGCGCAACACCTGGGGGTTAGGGGGCGCAAATCCATGGGTTAGGGGGCACAAATCCACGGGTTAGGGGGCGCAAATTACTTGCCTTGCCCCGGGTGCTGACAACCCACGCTACGCCACTGGTCAGTAATAATGAAGAAGTTTCCTCTAAAAAGGACACAATAGCTGTCCTTTCCTCTGCCAGTGCACAACTCTCCCTCCCCATCTCTCTTCTCCCCCAACCTTAAACTGTCCACAACATCAATGTCTCACATTGAATATAACTACCGTATTTTTCGCTCTATAAGACGCACCAGACCACAAAACACACCTAGTTTTTGGAGGAGGAAAACAAGAAAAAAAATATTCTGAATCTCAGAAGCCAGAACAGCAAGAAGGATCGCTACGCAGTGAAAGCAGCAATCCCTCTTGCTGTTCTGGCTTCTGGGATAGCTGTGCAGCCTGCATTCGCTCCATAAGACGCACACACATTTCCCCTTACTTTTTAGGAGGGAAAAAGTGAGTCTTATAGAGCAAAAAATACGGTAATCTGTAGAAAGGACTTTGTGATCTGAAAACAGAGATGATGTACTTTTGAAACTCAAGAAAATCTTTAATAAAAGCAATAAAAAGGCAATGCGTGACTGCTGAATGTGATCTAGGCACATTCTTAGCTGACTCAGAGCAGAGGGAGATTTCACTAAGCTTGCACAGAATGAACATGAGCCTGAGAACATGTCCAAGAACCCTCTGTCATTTTTCAGGAGCCCAAAGTGGATGCACAGGGGATAAATGATGCAGCAGAGTTTCCCTAAGACAGAAAGCTTGAAAGCCACTTGTTCTACAGCAGCCATGTCACTTTATTTTTATTCACCAGCAGGCAGCCTGCGAGTTACAGCAGTTCCTTTCCTCTGCTCCCCATTCTCTGTTGTCCTGAGACCCCAGACCTGGCAAGCAAGCTCTTTTAGAATACTGAGCATCTACACATGCTTGCACGCGCATAGTATCCTACTAGAACTCAAGAGAGAAACCAAAGTCCAACAAAGTACATGCTGTTCACACAGAAAATTCCACGTTCTGTCCCTGCAGTCTCCAAGCAAAGGAATCTCTGGGAAAGGTTGCTCTCTGTCCCAGATCCTGTGTAAGGCTGCTACCAATCAGAACAGCAGACAATGCCTGGCAAGTTTCATACAGTAATGACTGCTGTGTCTGGGATGGTCCTAGCAGTCAGAATGAACATGTGTGAGAGGGAGATCTGGCCTGCCTAACGATTTATACACTTATCCAGACATTGATATCACCAAGAGCAGCTTCACAGCACTTCCCCCAGTTTGGTTAGCTGGTCCCTGACACTACCATTCAGGCACCAGTCAAAACATTTGAGCTTATCTAGATATTTTAAAAGATTTTGCCAATTTAGCCAAAGTTAGTCTACTTAAAAGTGTTTTCGTGTTATGGTTATTTGTTTTCTTTATCTATTTATCTATTACAGTCATACCTTGGGATAAATACGCTTCAGGATAAGTATTTTCGGGTTGCGCTCCACAGCGGCCCGGAAGTAACGGAGCGCGTTACTTCCGGGTTTCACTGCTCATGCATGCGCAGATGGTCAAAATGACGTCACGCGCATGCGCGAGAGTGGCGAAACGCGACCCGCGCACACGCGCAGTCGTGTCTTACATTCTGTTCAGGATGAAAACGGGGCTCTGGAACGGATCCTGTTCGCATCCTGAGGTACTACTGTATTTTAAGGACCTTTTAAATCCACCCTTCACCAGTTGTTCCTGCGGTGGATTACGTGTTTTAAAACAATTTAGAAAAAACAGTCCAACCAAAATAAGACTAGACCATAATCTAAATTAAATATAGAATAAAAATTCCATCACACCAATTCCAGCAGCGGATTTAATACATCGCTATGCACTCTACTATGTAATGTAATGGGCCGTATTTATTTCAGAATGTTTTAAATAAATACACAAATATGTAACTCTTTCCACCCATCATTCGTAAGTTGATTTCTGCAATTGCCTTGTGGGATATCAATCACTTCATGCTGTTCAGATCAGTGCCTGCAGAAGAACCATTTCAACAGATGGACACACCTTGAGGAGGAAGGCTCCCCACCACACACTGTGGCTTGAGGGCCTCTCTCTGTCTGACATGGGGCCCTCATGAGCGAAACAGAGCATTGCGGCAGGAAGAGTCCAGTGCTGAAAACAGAGGCTGCAGAGCAGGCCCTCAAGTTTCCCTGGAGCTGATCAAGCGCCCTCTGAATCTTTGCAGATGCCCATGCCCAAATCCTCTTGATGCACATTTGAATGCAGCAAGGGATGCTTCCGTTCCAGGATTTGCATTTCTTCAACTTACTGGGTGAAGGCGAGGGGACCTGTGAGCAGGTCTTGTGGGAAGGGGCCTGCTCGCCTTTCACCAGCACCTCCTGGATTGCACTGGAAGAAAAAAGATGCGGAACAGCAGCTTGGACTGGCTGGGGGCTTGGAGACTGCTGGCCTGGGCTGCTGAGCAGAATACCGCTGTGGAATTCTGTTGCTCTGGGTGCCTGGGAACAAAATGCAGAGAGAAAAACGCAAGGCATGTCTTGTAGGTTGGCACCTCCCAGCACCAGATGCCCTGCCTTCCCCCATTCCCTGCCCCAAGACAGACATTGTGCTTCTTACTCTGGCCATTCCAGAAGGTGCAATTACAACATTGGGCTGAGACATCCTTGGGGCCCAAACCCCTTCTCTTTTCAATGGCGCTGGAGTTACAATCACAGCTCTGGACTGTCCCTGAAAGGCAGCTGAAAAACACAGCAGACAGAAGGAGGAACCAGGAGAGGAAGAACAAGAGAACCACAACCTAGGGAAGGAGCATCCTTGCACTGTTTTAAGTATGACATTATTCTTATGTTTTCAACATGTCCACACATAAGCTTATCCCAGGCTAATAGTGAAAATTTGTGGTTGTGGAATTAGAACAGACCTGTTGAAATCAATGAGACTATATTCCACCTACTCTAATAGTCCACCTACTCCACGAGGAAGTATTGATCTAACCCAATGATTTTCGCCTCCTGTGCTTCGCCACTGTCATGTTGATTTTCGCCACTGTCCTTCAGAACATGGAGAGATGGAAATGCAAATAACTGGATTACAGTCCATGGCATGGCATGGTACACTTGATATATGGGCCAGTTCATTTTGTGACACATGTGGTCCAATCCAGTTCAAGTATATATAGACATAGTGTGAGTAGTAACCCCGCTGTGGCTCACCACTCATCATTTTTTGGTCATATGTACAACCTTAGGAACTGAGTTCAGAAGCAAATGGTTATTTTCATTTCTAGCAGACGTTGGTTGCGCACGTCTGCCCTTGGCCAGGATTCAACTCTGGCTCCTAGTGCAAGGCACTGATTGACTAGATTCTGTGACGATCACAAAGTACCACCTCAATGGTATTTTTTAAAAGAATGACAGATTTTAAAAAAGTTCCAGCTATTTAATGAGGAGAAATGGAACAAGTGTAGAGCATGAGGAAAGAGATATAAAGAAACAGGAAATGAAATGCTGGAGCCAGATAATTATGACACGGTTGATTAAATTAGTGTCACAGGAATAGGGTGGGTCTTAAAAACACACTCAGTTGTCAAAGGCCAAGGTAAAGACTATCTCACCCCTTATATACCCAATCAATCACTGCATTCTGCAGGTGAAGGCCTCCTGCAGATGTCAGGAATTCCCTCGCTTGGAATATTAGACCAACACAGTCTCGGTTGTCTTTTTGGTGCCTAGTGTAGACTTTCATCTTCCAACAAGCCTTTTAAGTTGAAATTTTCCTCAGTCTGCATCTGTACAGTGGTGCCTCGCAAGACGAAATTAATTCATTCCGCGAGTTTTGTCGTCTTGCGATTTTTTTCGTCTTGCAAAGCACGGTGTTGGGAAAGTTTTGGAAAAGCTTCAAAAACCTTTAAAAACCTCAAAAAAGGCTACCACACCGCATTCTATGAGTTGCTCCTCGAAGTCAAGTCGCAACTGTATTAACGGTGTTAAGAAAAAGGAAACAAACTTGCAAGACATTTCCGTCTTGCGAAGCAAGACCATAGGGAAAATCGCCTTGCGAAGCAGCTCAAAAAACCAAAAACCCTTTCGTCTTGCGAGTTTTTTGTCTTGTGAGGCATTCGTCTTGCAAGGTACCACTGTACTGGAATTGTTTTAGTATGTTTGTCACTTGCTACCCTGGGCTTCTTTGGGAGAAAGGGTGGGAAATTGATTAACAAACAAATCAATAACAAAGAGGAGCATCTTCAGCACACATCAGAAACCATACAGTATAACCAAGGAGCGGCCACAGGGAGTGCCCTCTTATGGGCTGCTTGCATGAACTTCTGAGGGTGGTAGAACTACCAAGAGGATTTCCCTCTGCTGATCTTAACATCTGAGAAGGTTTTAAAGGAGAGAGTTGGTCTTTCAGGTATTGGGGGCCTATGTGTGTAATTTAGACAAGTAAAGGGGTGTGTGGGTATGAAAGGAGAGCTCACCCCACAGCAGGGCGGGAGGGAAGCTCTGGTTCCTGATTGTACCTATTCCTGACTGCAAGATCTGAACACAGGCTTAAGTATTTATTTATGTGAGGCATGGGGACCACAGACTAAGAACATGGGGTAGGTTTGCCATTTTGCCACAATGGTGCTCTATGGAAATCCCAACACAATGCATCTATCCCTGAATGCACCCGTTTGGAAACTAAAGCCATTACTGAAGTATCAAAACCATCACACTTCTCTAGGATAGTTGCAGTGACACTCTACATGGAAAACAAAATAGCAAATGAGTGTTTGAACCGATACGTCAGTCTTACTTATCTACTGCTTTAAAGTATGCACTTTAACATTGTGAAATCTCTGTTATTCTCAATTATCCAAAACAGTCTTTTAAAATAATACAAATAATGTCAAAATTACAAAAAGAGAAGAACAGCTCCAGCTGATTAGCTGGCACCATCCTGTGGAGAAAACTGAGATCTTAAAAATTATCTCTTTCTGTTCATTTCAGGCTTTCAGGCCCATTAAATAATTAAGCTTCAGAATGTATCAGAAGCAGGTCAGTAGCCTCATGTTACAAGAGGGGGAAACGAGTCACAGGCTGGGAGAGTTGCTTGCCCAGAGCTCTTGAATAACAAGAAGGCCAGCAGTGGCACCCAGGAGCTGTTGGAGAGCCCCGGAGAGGCTCAGCGGTAAAGGCCCTGTCCCATTTTCAATGCCTGCCAGCTGCAGTTATGGACAAGGGCAGAGAAAGGCCTCTGCGGAGCCAGCTGGAGGACACTGCCCTGAGCAAGTTCGACTAATGTGGCCCCTTAGCATACGGCAGCCTGGTGGCACCAGGCACCCACGCCTATATGGCAAAAGGAGGTTTCATAAAGGCAGCATCTAAAGATAGCCATGCCTCATGTTATCAGAGTTACAGCCCCACACTTCTCGCAGACAGCAAGAAATTGGTGAAACTTGGCCATTTTAAGAAAAATAACAAAATTGGACTATGAAATATTTATTTTTAAAAATGACTTGCTTTACTCTTCCTGCATGATTGTGTTTACTCTTTGTTCCTTCTTCATGAACAATTTTACATAGAAGCCAGCAAAATGCATTTTTGTGGGGAGGGGGTTATGTCCCATCCCAAGTGGTTGGGCTCAGCTACTCAAGGCCTCAAGCAGAGCCTGGTGGCAGCAACGCCAATAGCACGCCTGCCTGCAGCTCAGCAGAAAAGTGGCCTCCCTGCCCCTCAAGGGCCCTCACTACTCTGTCTCTTGGCATTACAGTGGTACCTTGGGTTACAGATGCTTCAGGTTACAGACTCCGCTAACCCAGAAATAGTGCATTGGGTTAAGAACTTTGCTTCAGGATGAGAACAGAAATCGTGTGGCGGCAGTGGGAGGCCCCATTAGCTAAAGTGGTACCACAGGTTAAGAACAGTTTCAGGTTAAGAACGAACCTCAGAATGAATTAAGTTCTTAACCCGAGGTACCACTGTAGTTGCCCTGCTGTTATTTTTCTCCACGCCTGATGCCACGCTGTTAGTTTATAAACCTGGAACAGGAGCCAAAGTTCCATGTGACTAGTTGCACATTGCCAAGGAGGCTTTGTGTGCCCTGAGCAGTGGATTACCACCCCATAACGTTGTGGGGAGTTTCATAAACAGTTTGCGATATGGAAGGGAGGGAGATGCCTCTGAAGAGTGGGTTCTTCCTGTGGGATTCCTGTGGGATTCCTGGAGGCAACTGACTGACCTATCTATATATGACTTTTTCATCTTTACCAAGGTCTGCTATTTAAAAGTCAAACATCCCACTGTCTCCACACAGGCCCTTTTGCACTCACCTAAAACAGTATGCTACAACCCTAGAGTCTGGCAAGACTGGCCCATACGGGCAGGGGTACCTTTACCTTTAAAACAGTATGCTAAGTATCTGAGGAATATTTTTCAGGGTGAAGGTTTGTCCCCAGACTTGCAGGGTGTCTGACACACACAGACAGACAGACAGACTGGCAAGCACCCAAACACTGTAACCCTTGTTTGCAGACAGATTGGCAGCACTCATGATGCCTGACTGCACCTGGCCCCAACCCAAGGGGGCATTTCCAGGACCACTCACCTGGGGCAATGAAGGCATCTTTCAAGACCAAGGAGACGGTTTCCGGCTTTCGACCAGGCACTATCTTTTGCAGCTTCTTGGACCTCGTCCCGCCACTGGCCACTGGGAGCGCGAAGGTGGGACGTGGCTGCAGCAGAGGCTGTCTTTGTGCCACGGCAGTCTGGAGGGTCAGGCTGCAAGGCACTCCTCCCCCTGGCTGCTGAGTTGCCAGGAGGCCAGCCTGGCTCTGGCTGAAGGTGGTGGCTGGGACATTGTGCGTCGGAGTGGCTGAGGCTGTGTGAGTGATCACCGAAGACTTGAGCCCAAACTTTGGGACCTCTGAAGCAGCAAACATGGACCCCTGGGAAGCCATGCCGGCATTCAGAGGCAGCGCAGTCTGCTGCGGCAACGTCTGAGGCAGCACGCCTGGCTGAAGGAGCGGCACCAGAGCCGGGAATGGAGACAGGAACTGTGGCTGGCTGCTCAGAGGGGGTTCAGAATTGAAGCTGGAGGGCTGCAGGAAGGAGTCCGTCCCACTCCTCAGGCCAAGGCACTGGTCGGCACCAACGTCCGTTGCAGAGGGAATGATAGGGGCAGGAACTGGGGTGGTGACGAGCCCTTCGCTGAGGTTCACTGGGGGAAGCGTGTTGGGCAAAGAACCCGAAGAGAGGTCGGATGTCTGAAAAAGAGAGGGAAGAGGCACATTAAATGTGGCCAGATACCAGGTGGGATGTGCCATATTTCTAAACTGGTAAGTATTGGGGGAGAGAAATAGGACCCAGATCGGACTCCACTGTTGGTGTTACCCACCATCACAAGTAATTCTTACTAAATTTACATGCTCTTCCCCATTCCATTAGCCTGCGGGAGTGAACAGAGCAGAGCTAGTCAAACTGTTGCTCGTCAGATGCTGTTGGACTACAATTCCCAGCAGGCTTAGTCAGAATTACAAAAGGTAAAAGATGATGGGACTTGTAGTCCAACAACACCTAAAGGGCACCCATTTGCATTACGTCAGTTACTCAGCCTTTGACTGGGGAGATCTGGGTTCAAGTCCCTGCTTTATATGGAAACTTGTTTGGTGACCCTGGGACACTTGATCTCTTGGCCTAGCCCACCTCACAAGATTGCTGTGCAGATAGAATGGGAGGAATGGAAGAAGGGCAGAACAAAACTGTAAGTAACAAGTAACTTGTGGCCTGAAAGAAAAACGCACACACCCCTAACTTGAGTTACAAAAATGTCCCTGCTTCATCATCTGCGCCTACTTTTCATACTCACAGGTGATCACAGTTAGGACCAAACAGCTAGAGTCACACACACACACCAGCTCATGTAGTAAGATCTATAGTTATATGAGTCCAAAATGGGAACCAACTCATTCTGAATTAAGAGAAGCCATGCTGCTTAGAGTTACCCTAAGGATATTTTATAAATTCAGATAAATAAATAAAAGTCATCTGGGAATATTTGTTCAGATAAATATACCCAGCTGTGGTGCTGACCGGCTGACAGCCCCAAGGCATGGAGAATGCACATGAAAATCTAAGACCAGACTACCTTGACTCTAGGAAGACTTCTTAGGAAACTGCTTCTACTGAGTCAGGCAACTGAGATCTACCTCACACAGTATTATTTACTCACTAGCTGTCAGCAACTATCTAGGGTTCCAGCTGGGGGACCTTTCCCAGCCTTGCAGGGAGACTAAACCTTCCTCATGCAAAGCACACACTCTAACTGCCACTGAGCCACAATTCTTCCCCATCCTTACCTGGGAAGAATGGCTGCAGGTGTCTTCCAGGGCAGAGCTGGCAGTAGGAGTGATGGGGCTTGCATTGAAGTAACTAGGACGACTGGAAGAGAAAAGATCTGGGCAAAGATTGGGAGGGTGGGGGGAGGCAAATATTACAATCACTTCTGGATACTCCTATTCATTTTACAGATGCACTTTGCCAAGCTGGATTTAAATAAACAGAAAACCTTTGTTACACACCAGGAAATAAAAAAGAAAAGAGCACCTTCCACACTAAAAACCTATTTTTATTTCATTTCTATTTATTTCAATACATAGTTGTCCTACTTTTAATGCAAGCTATCCCAAGTAGCTTAACCACTGTTACATATTTATATTAAGACTTTCACTCTGCCTTTCCAAAGGCTTACAATCCAACAATAAAACCCAAGTAAAGGTGGTGATGACGACGACCACAATAACAACAACAGGGCCATTCTACCCCTTCAGCATTCTTCCACGTGTGAGACCAATCTAGAGAGAGGTCCATTGCCCAGTGAGGGTACTTCTGCTTTGCCTACAGAAGGGTCAATGTTCATACCCCCTAAACTCTGAATAGAAGCAATGATGCTAAATGGAATGCACCTCTATTCTCAGCATGGTGGTGTTGCTGGTGATGTTAATCACACCCAAATGTTGACTGTCAGTCTAAAACCAGTGGAACAGTACATACCTCCTCTTGGAGGAACTACGCCTTATAGGAACAAACTCTGGATACTCCAAAATCCAGATATCAGAGGGCAATGCAGCAAAACATTAGCATAGCCTAATACTTTCAATATACAGCTTCATAAACGATACCAGGGGAAATCTGTGCTGGCAAACAAGAGTGTTTAACCCCTGCAAAATTCTTACCTTGAAAAAACTCAAAAGTATCCATACAGTTTGGCTGGAGAGGGCTGAGTCCTGGCTGAATCATGTCAGCATTTCCTAAGTGTGCTGGAAAATTTCAAAGAGAAAAAGAGTGAGAAGGTGAACTGGAGAGCTTCTAGACCAGGGTGCTGGCCAGCCGCAATCAGCATGGCCAATGGGCAGGGATGATGGGAGTTGTAGTCCTGCAGCATCAGGAAAGCGCCAGTTTAGCTAACCCTGTTCTTGATTCTCTGTGGTGCCCTCTAATGCTTTGGAATACAGTTCCCATAAGCCCAAGGCAGCATGACCAATGGCCAGGGATAATAGGAATTGTAGTCCACAACATCTGGGCACTGTGCTGAATACACTTAGTATGGAAGACTCTGGGAAACTGAGGTTGAGGGTGGTACAGGCATCACCAATACTGCACCAGTGTGCCCAACTGCCCAAAAGCAAGGTGTGCGGGGGTGGGGGGTGGGGAGCAGGAGGTCTGGAGCCCAACAACTAATACCTGGAGTTTGGGGCCCCTGGGATACAGCACCAGAGCCAGGCCAACTTCTCTGTGTTTTCTGTCTCCTATTGCTACCCTCCCCATTTGCGTAACAAGAGCAACATTGTGATCTGAAAAGCTGGGAAACTGATGGCAGCATGGTACAAAACATGTTTGCTTCCCCTCCGAGGCAGTGATGATCAAACTTACTATTTTCAGGAAACAATTTCTACACTAATGTCAGATGCTGGTAGTGGTTGCTCGTGAGTAACCAGGCAGGGCTCCGACCTGTCTTTAACAGGTTTTATTTGGTGCAAATTATTTACAGTGCAGAAACACAAAGTTCATGTCCGTCTTAGTCACTTGCAGATTCCAGGAGTGGCCCCTTCCAGTTTCTCCCCCAACATAAGAACTTGGGACACCCCAAATCTCCAACTCCCCTCCTTATGTTTCTCCCCTCTGCGTAAGCTGGGCGACAGAAATGGCGTCTCTGCCTCCTGCCCAGCCAGGCTAGGTGAGGCGCTTGGGCTCTCAGTAGGGTCTTCAAGCCCTCCCCTCGCTTGGCTCCCTCCTTCCCACTGTGCTCCACTGGAGGTGTGGCTTTCCCCACTGCTGGACGAGGAGCTGCTCCTCAGAAGCGTCGGAGGCTCTCTGTACCCCCCTGGCTCCCTCCCCTGTTCCAACGGCAGTCCCCTGACAACTACCTAATATGTCCCCCAAACCCAAGGGGTTTCTGAAGATTCGGCAGGGTGTGTGGAAGACCGCATAAAGTAGAGCAGCTCACACAGGGCATGGGAGGGTTTCCGGACACTTTCTACCACCTCACATCAACTGAGAGCATGTCCAAGAATACTGCCAATGCTCCCCCTGTGCCTGAGTGTTTTGTGGGCGGGTTGGAAGTAATGGGTGCGGTTTGCTAGGCACAAAGAAAGCTGCCTTTCTTTCCATGGAATCAGACCACCATCTGGGTGCCTGGAACCACAGTGCCTCCCCCCAGAGCCTCTTTCACTGAACCTCTCACCAAGGACTATTCTCTGGATTAGAAACTATTCCTCCAAAGAAAATAATCTACCTTGACCTCTAGATTTAAGACAAGGTTCTACCAATTTCTCCCCTTCCCCCCCTTCCCCCCAACTTAAAGAATGGAAAGAAACGAGTGCTTAATGTCTAAAGTGCATGGGATTTGCCTGGAAGTTTTTCCCCTAACCTCTGACGCCTGCATGGGTGGGCCTGTGATCAAGGAAGATAATCTTTAAAAAATAATAATTAAAAGCTTACTGACATAAACTCATACAGAATACAATAAAAATTATGGATATGGCAAATAAAAAGAAATGTGAAACTAGAAAAAATAAAACACAGATATAGAAGAGATGTAATTCTATGTATAGTCAAGAGATAAACCTTTAAAATGTTCCAAGGCAAGATGCTGTGGTCTTTTTTTAAACTATCCCAATATTGGTGGCTGCCAGGAAGCACATTTGGAAGTAAGACAGCAAGGTACTTCCTCGCTCCCACGCCCCCCCAAACAGGAAAGAACTTGGAAGTACTTGGAAGCCTATCCTGTGGAATTCCTTCTCCACAGATGATCCAGGAAAGGGCAAGCTTCTCTTACCTATCTCTCTGGGATTTGGCCAAGAGAGCGGCTGGTGAGACGACAGTGTGGAGAAGAGGGTGTCTGGCAGCTCTGACATAAGCATGTCTGTGCTGAAGAGGCAGTCCAGTTCCATAGGGACTGGTGTTTCCCTGCCGTATGTCTCTTTGTGCCAGAGGAACATGTCATCATCCTGGTCAGGGGAGGGAGGGAAAAGTTAAAACAGGGCCCACTCTGGATGTCAGTATTTGCAATTTTAGTGGGGACTGTCATGTTTTGTATTACTGTCTTTGTGGTTTGGATTGTACGACACCTTGAGTTTCTTTGAAAATACATTTTAAAACAAAAATAATACATTAAAAGAAGCAGGAGTGTCTGGAGCTGCACCCAGCTAGCAAGGAGTCCACAAGGCATAAAACTCAGCAATTTCCTTTCTCAATCGAGAGGAGAGTCACAGAGCACATTCTGCAAAGAGCAATTCTTTGGGGATATGGTTTCTTTCAAGGAGACCTTGACGCACATCTCTCAGTTAAGTCATGGGCATCCTGGTTGGCTCAGCTGCAGCTGCGAGCAAGAAAAACCCAACTCATAGTGGATTTTCTATAGAATAATCAATAGGACCATTAAAGAAATTTGGAATGCAAAATGGTGCTCAACTGTAGCGATTCAGGGAATTTTACTGGTTACAGCACCCCTCACTTCCCCTCTGACCTGCAGACTGCCCTGGTTTCACACCTACTTTTTAAGCAAAAATAAGAAGAGGAATACCTTCTTCTTAACAGTGCTGGGAGTCACTTTTTAAATACTTTCAGGCCTAACGAACAACAAACAAAACAAGAGCTAACTCAACACCTACCCGGACCAAGCTGGAGAGGTCTTCATCTTTATGTTTCTGCAACTGAAGAAGAGAAATGATATTTTTCCCCAACAGAATTACAACACACTTCTAGAGTTACCATGAACTGGAGCTCCTATTTGTGTGAGGAATTCTTGCTGCCTTGAAGCAAAGTATTTTATTTATCATTCAGAGCTGGTCTGCCCATGAGGTGGGGTGAGGCAGCCACAAAGAGAGGCATAAGCCCAAGAGAGGCTGTGCCACCACAGGCTCTCTGCCCACCCGGCTGCCAAGCAGTGGCACCAATTTCCAGTGAGATCTGGGCCATGAACAAGAAACCCTATCTAATCCTGAAAGTGACCCTCTAGGATGTTATTCCAAGTCTATTGTGAGTTAGGAGTGTAAAAACAGCTATCCTTGAAGTTTCCTGGGAGAAAGGAGAAGCAAGGGAAGTGAGATAAACAAAGCAATGTCAACAATTCGACAAAGGCCTGGTTACCAGGGGAACAGGGATAGAAATGTGACATTAGAGGCTCAAAAGGCCTGGGCACCTGGGGCACTCCAAGGTACCGTATTTTTCCGTCCATAAGATGCCCCCACGTAGAAGACTATCCAAGTATAAGACGCCCCCTATTTTTTGACCTTATTTTTCAGGGGGGAAACCTAGACTTATACACAGGAAAATATGGTAATTGTGGGGGAGCAGATCACAGTATGGAGCCATATATGTTTACCATCCTATGACCTGCAATCTTTCCTGATGTAAGTAGAAGGATGTTTATGTTTTAAGAATATTTAGATGTTTTAGGACTCTCTTTGTGTGCTTTACCTATAATAAAAAGGTAAAGGGACCCCTGACCATTAGGTCCAGTCGTGGCCGACTCTGGGGTTGCAGTGCTCATCTCGCTTTATTGGCCAACGGAGCCGGCATACAGCTTCTGGGTCATGTGGTCAGCATGACTAAGTTGCTTCTGGTGAATCAGAGCAGTGCATGGAAACGCCGTTTACCTTCCCGCCGGAGCGGTACCTATTTATCTACTTGTTCTAATTCTTATTAACTGGCCGTTTGGATAGAACAACTGCGTTGAGTTGAGCTCTGCCCTATTGCAATAGCTACAATAAATTCTGGGTTCTTCCTGGTTACTGGACTTGAATTCATTTCCTTGGTTGCATGTTTTATTTAAAAGGTCCCTCAGCTGGGTAATGAACAGCGTGGTATAGAAGCAAATTCTAGCCACAGGTTGGATGACCACTTGTCGTGTATGATGCAGTTAGGATTCCTGCATTGCAGGCTAGATGACCCTCAGGGTCCCTTCCAACTCTACAGTTCGATGATACTTGGACTATTCAGGTGAACCAGGACAATTTGAGCGACAACAGAATGCACAAATCAGTACAAAATTAACATTTTATTGTTTGGGGCAAGCATATTTCTACTAATACAGTTGAATTACCAACCCTTTTCATTCTTAAGCCTTCATTGGTAAGCTGAAACTTTTCCTTCCTTTCTGGAGGCAATTGAGAAGATACTGGTCTACTTCCAAATTGAAAACTGGGTGTGAAAAAACATACCCTTTTTTTGAAGTAGGTTCTCCACTTGTGGTACTCTCGGATTACTACTTCTATCCGCCGTTTCCAATACTTCCCTTCTGTTGCAATAGCCTGAGGAAGAAAAATGTTTAAAAAATAAAGTGGTGGCGGCGAAGTACAGTGGGCCCATCACTCGTGCTCACTTTACACACGCGATTGCAACCTTACGTGGGCACAGGGAGCAGGGAGGAATCAATAAATAAAGAGTGGGAGAAACCCGTTCCCCACTCTTCATTTATTTCTCTCCCACCCACCCAACAGGTTTTCCTTGCTTATTGGGCTCTGGGAAGGTTGCAATTCCCAAAGAGGTTTAAGAACCAATCCATTTCCCCAGGGAACTGTGGGAATTGTAGCTCTGAGGGGAATAGGGATCTCAAAATAACTCTTAGCACCCTTAACAAACTACACCACCTGGCCTCTAGCATCTGACACACCATCTGCCTGATGGTGGGACCCACCTGCCCACCCAGAACTGAAAGGAAGCCTACATTCAAATATGTGCATTTGCTTATGTACTGATTTCTTGTGCTCCTTACCCCACTCTCTACCCCAGTGTCAAAACACAACAGAGAACTATGGAAAGACAGGAAGGGGCAGATAAGCAAAGGCAATTCAGGTGAAAGCAGCATAAAATGAGATTAGCCCACAGCATGAAGAGATATCCGCTGTACCACAGTCACATTTTTCTCTGCCTGATGTACCTCAGGGCGCCGGTGCTCATCCACCTCCACAGAACCATCCAGGGGAGTCACAAAGTGGCACACAGGGTTCTTCCGCTTCTCCAGATCTGCAACACGAACCAGAGCATTAGCAGAGCACATCTCTAGGGGGAGCAAGCCAGGTCAGATTTGACTGCCATGCTAAGTAAGCCACAGAGCAGGACTTCCACTGTTAAAGAACCAGGGATGTGCACATGCCAGATTCTGCGCAAGTGTTAAAGTGTGGCACGAGGAGCAGAATTCAGCTACTGTACACGACAGAAATTCAGTAGGGAACCTTCCAATCTTCTCCATAAAGGGCTGGTTTTTGTATGCACACAGAGAGAGATCATAAGGAAGGCTGGAGGAGAAACTCGCTTACCTAATTCACATTTCTTCAATCAATGTGTAAACTAAAACACAGCTATCCTTTGAAATCTGCAATTCTCTGAATTTTGCTTTACAGTTTTACAACGAAGAAATGCTTACAAAAAAGCATATAATATATAATTTAAATGCTATGCAGATGACCTAAGAGGTTTTCTTCACAATCAAGCAGTATATAAATTATGTTAAATACAAATATATATATTAGGAAAAAGTATGCATGAAAATTTGTGTAACGTGCAGAAATCAGCATATTGGGCAAATGTGCATAAAAATATTCACACATACCTGGATATATGCACGTGATTATGCACTTGAAGATTTGTGGGAATTTTTTTAAAACTGCAAACTGATTTAGAAATGGCAAAAACTGAACTTAAGATGGAAAAATGAGAAAGTGAAATTGACAGGAGTGGGGAAGGGCTAAAGCTCAGCGGTAGAACACCTGCTTTGCATGCAGAAGATTCTAGGTTCGATCCCCAGCATGTCCAGGTAGACAATACAGAGCTAGATGGACCAAGGGTCTGACTTGGTGTAAGGCAGCCTCCTAAGTCCCTAGAAGCAGGCCTCAGACTTATATGCTTCCTCTCCCAAGTCTCGCCTCACCACAGGCAGAAGTGAAGGACATCACCAGAGACCCCACATCACTGGGAGAAGTACTGTAGATTCCGGCGTATTAGGCGACTGGGCGTATAAGACAACCCCCCCAATTGGCAGCTGCCAATTTGGGGAGTTGTCTTATACGCTTCGGCAGCTTCGTTGGGCAGCGGCAGTGGGCGGTGGGCTCCGCGCTGGGAGGAAGCCGCCCAGTGAAGCCGGCTTAGCATCGCCAGGCAGCTTCCTTCCGGTGCAGAGCAGAGCCCGCCACCCACTGCAGCCATACCCAGCGTATAAGACGACCCCCAACTTTTTAACCTCTTTTCCGGGGTTAAAAAGTCGTCTTATACGCTGGACTCTACGATAGTGAACAATCGAACTAGGGAGACATCATGTCTGGGGGGGTTTTGGGTTCAACCATTCCCTTTTAATTTTATTTTAAAATGAAACCTTACCATTCAATTAAAAATGTTCAAGGTTACTTTCAATAATATTAAAATAAAAAGAACAGAGATGCTATCCACAGAGAGGAGAGGAACCAAAGGAGGGGCAGATGGCCTTGTTCTCACCCCGGGCAAATTCCTAGGGAGCAAAGAATGGGTGAGCAGGCCTTGGCCCCACATCCCCCTGCCCTCTAATGCATGGAGGGGGTTCGAGGAGACAGAACCTTTCCAGTGGTGGAGTCTAAACCATGGAGCTTTCTCCAAAGGGAGACTTCCCTGCCGCTGGCATTACTGGGGTTCCTAGGAAAGGCTGACATTCTGATTTCAACTGGTATCTGACACAACAGAGAAGTTGCTCCCTCTGCCTGATTTGGCTATGGGATGTTTCTGCCTGGTTTTGTGTGACAAGATTGCTTTGTTGAGGCTTTTATATTGCTGCTTATATTGCCTGCACACCCTGAAAGAGGACAAGGCATATGGTATGTAATAAACAAACAAAAGTCCCAGGCTGGCCACGTACTAATGTGTGGATTTTCCCAAAGCACCCAAACACATTTAGGATGGGCAGAACTTACACTGAATGTACCAAGCCCTCCAGATGGCGTTGTTGAGCCGGATTTTATCCCTACACTGAAGCTTCAGGCCTTTGAAATTCTTCCACTTGGGTGAAACCAACTTGCCGCTGCAACAAAGCAGAGAAGGTTCAGATTTAAACAACAATAAAAAACAATGTATTCTGAAGCAAAACAAAGTAAAGATACAGCACACCAGGCTGACAGCTTTGAAGGCTACCTAGTGTCCTCTGCCTGGGCCTGAGTTTTAATTCTGACCAGGCCTGAAAGCAGAGCTAAAGGGGACAAGTTGTGACTCATGGGGACATTGAAACCCCTTACTATAGTCTGTCTTGATGCCAGGGCAAACCCATGTTTCTACTCCAACCAGCCCTGCTCACATACAACTTTTTTAATTAGGCAGCAGATATTTAGATATTCTGTTCTGTTGAGGCGAATATACGCCTTAAAAGAGCCACATCTCTTTTGATCACGGTGCTAGTTTCTGGATTTGGGGTATAGTCAGTGCTATTTTTCTAGAAGAGGAGGCGCCGAAACTCACAATGAACACCTCCCTTGTTCTCCTATAGGTAAGAGTAAAGGTAAAGGACCCCTGGACAGTTAAGTCCAATCAAAGGAGACTATGGGGTTGCAGCGCTCATCTCGCTTTAGACCAAGGGAGCCAGCGTTTGTCCACAGACAGCTTTCCGGGTCATGTGGCCAGCAGGACTAAACCACTTCTGGCGCAACGGAACACCATGACGGAAGCCAGAGCACACGGAAATGCTGTTTCCCTTCCCGCCACAGCGGTACCTATTTATCTACTTGCACTTTTTTGCGTGCTTTCGAACTGCTAGGCTGGCAGGAGCTGGGACAGAGCAACAGGAGTTCACCCCGTCGCGGGGATTCAAACAGCCAACCTTATGATCAGCTAGCCCAAGAGGCTCAGTGGTTTAGACCACAGCGCCACCCACGCCAATAATGGCAATGGTGTCCACCTGAGAGGTGTCAGAATTGAGTTCCAGCTAAAAAAAGAAAAGCCCTGGATATAGTACTCTGAAGCAGTGGCTTTAAAAACTGCCTTGTATAAGCTTCCTATAAGCCTTACAAGGTCAGGCTACTGCATTTGTCATTTTAACCTAATAGATGACAGCTCTCCAGGGTCTCAAGCAGGGAGGGATTTCTCCCATCCCATCATTTTTCTTAGCTGGAGATGCCATGAGTTGAACCTGGGACCTTTGCCCACAAAGCATGTGGTTTTCTGCTGAGCTATGGCCCCTCCCTAAGGAATGCTGGAATGTCCCATGAAAGCCCATCAGGTCTTTCTTTGTAAGGTAATTGCTAGTGAGGACAAGCTTCTCTAGGAAAGGAAAGATAGCTCACCCACTACTGTGGATTACCATATTTTTCACTCCATAAGGCGCACCGGACCATAAGGCGCACCTAGTTTTTAGGGGGGGGGGAATCAAGGGGGGAAATATTACCCCCCCCCCAGGCCCAAAGAGCAAAGAAGCCAAGACAGCAAGCGGGATCCATCCCGCTCGCTGTCTTGGCTTCCTCTTTAGCCGCGTGCAACCTCTCCTGGCTGGAGAGGTTGCGTGCGGCTTTGGCAAAAGACTAGACAGCCAGCGGGATGGATCCCGCTCACTGTCTTGGCTTCGTTTTTAGCCACGGGGCTGGGGCGGGGGAAGCCTGAGCTTCCCCCAACCCCAGCACCCAAAACAGGTCCGGGAGCGGCAACAAGGTTGAGAAGCCTTTGGAGCGCAGTGTGAGTTCCCGCTGCACTCCAAAGCCTTCAGGGATAGCCGCCTGAAGCCTTTGGAGTGCAGCGGGACCTCGCGCTGCGCTCCAAAGGCTTCAGGCGGCTATCCCCGAAGCCAGGTCTCCTGGCTCTCATAAAAGGAACCCAAAGCTTTTGGAGCGCAGTGCAAGGTCCCGCTGTGCTCCAAAGGTTTCAGGCGGCTATCCCTAAAGCCTGGAGAGTGAGAGGGGTCGGTGCTCACCGACCCCTCGCTCTCCAGGCTTCAGCGAAAGCAACGCGTAGCCTCCGGAATGCAGAGGGAGCGCTCCCTCTGTGCTTTGGAGGCTTCACATTGATATCGCTGAAGCCAAGGAGTCTGCATTCGCTCCATAGGACACAGACACATTTCCCCTTAATTTTTGGAGGGGAAAAGTGCGTCCTATAGAGTGAAAAATATGGTATCTCCTGTAACTGCAAGCCATGGGGTGAGCGTTGGGATGTTCTATGACACACCCAGTTCATAAAGGGTAATGGTAAGACCCAAGAGCCTTAGAAGTTAGAACATGCCCAAGAATCCTTTGCAACATGAAGGGATTCAATGGTTGATGTGCAGAGGTTCCTTCTCAGCTATACTGCTGAAAGCATTTCCTGAGAGACTGCCTAAAAAATGAAGCTAATGCCCTGAGAAATCAAGCCCATCCAGAATCATCTGCAACTTTAAAAACATCTTTCGCATTTCAGGATTGGTTGTGTTCAGGAATTTTTCCTGTGTTGAAAGCTGGTGACGATCAAGACTGAGAAAGTTTTTAAGTGCATTCCTGCAGGATGGCCTCATTACATGAGCCAAAAGTAGCCCTGAAGAGGCTATAAGGGAACTATTAACTCTGGCACAGCACAGATGGGGCATGCTTCAATCTCTCTCTCAATGCTGCCTTTCACAAGCAAATTCTGTGCAAAAAGGTTTTAAAGGTCACTGGCGCTTGCAACAGACAGCAAGCCAAGAAACAAGGAAGAAAAAAGAAATAATCACGTGGAAAGCAACTTGTACGACAGAGGATAGATTTAAATATTAACCTCTTGACCATCTCGCCACACTTACCGAACACTATTGCAGATAGAGGTGAAAAAACATACAGTGGTGCCCCGCAAGACGAACGCCTCGCAAGACGGAAAACCCGCTAGACGAAAGGGTTTTCCGTTTTGGAGGCGCTTCGCAAAACGAATTTCCCTATGGGCTTGCTTCGCAAGACGAAAGCCCATAGGGAAATCTCCGGGGACCTCTTTTAAATGCTAGCGGTGGGGAGCAAAGCCTTCCCCCCCCCCTCCGGCCTTCAGAAGAGGTCCAGGAAGGCTGGCGGGGGCCGAAAGGCTTTGCTCCCCAGCGCCAGCATTTTAAAAGCAGTCCGGGATAGCAGGGAAGCGCTTCCCGCTATCCCGGACGGCTTTTGAAGGCAGGAGAGATCCGCGAAGCCTGGGCGCGCTGATGTCAGCGCGCGCAGGCTTCGGGATGCCGGCAACTCTCCGCCAGCAGCGGGAACGTTCCCGCTGCTTGTGGAGAGATCGCTGAGATCAGCGCGCGCAGGCTTCGGGATGCCGGCAACTCTCCCCAAGCAGCGGGAACGTTCCCGCTGCTTGTGGAGAGATCCGCGAAGCCTGGACGCGCTGATGTCAGCGCGCGCAGGCTTCGGGATGCCGGCAACTCTCCGCCAGCAGCGGGAACGTTCCCGCTGCTTGTGGAGAGATCCGCGAAGCCTGGACGCGCTGATGTCAGCGAGCGCAGGCTTCGGGATGCCGGCAACTCTCCCCAAGCAGCGGGAACGTTCCCGCTGCTTGTGGAGAGATCCGCGAAGCCTGGGCGCGCTGAGATCAGCGCGCGCAGGCTTCGGCATGCCGGCAACTCTCCGCCAGCAGCGGCAGCGCTGCCGCTGCTGGCGGAGAGGTCCGCGAAGCTTTTGAAGGCAGGCGGGGGGGAGCAAAGACTTTCGCCCCCGCCAGCCTTCAGAAGAGGTCCAGGACCTCTTCTGAAGGCTGGCGGGGGGCAAAAGTCTTTGTCCCCCCTGCCTGCCTTCCCAGGGGCTTTTAAATCGCCCCGGACAGCGGAGAAGTCCTCCGCTGTCCCGGGGTTTTTTAAAATGCTGGGGGTGGGAAGAAAAGCCCTTGTCCCCCCCCCCAGCCTTCAGAAGAGGTCGGGGGACAGACTGTCCCCGGACCTGGTCTGAAGTCGGTTTCCCTAGGAACGCATTAATTGATTTTCAATGCATTCCTATGGGAAACCGTGCATCGCAAGACGAAAAACTCGCAAGAAGAAAAAACTTGCGGAACGAATTAATTTCGTCTTGCGAGGCACCACTGTACTTAAAAAACGAACAGAGGAGCGTCTGTTCCAATCTGAATTTAAAATGAGGAATGTGGTCGCTAGAGCATGGAAGAGACAGAATTAAGTGACGCCAAATGACCTCAAATGATCAGTTCATTCAAAGACAGCAAAGGAAGTCCATGTTTTGCTGAACCGCAGAACAGCTGATGGGGTTCATTGAAGAACAGCTATTTTCAAACTGTTTGTCATCATGAGAGCGACTGAAATGTGCCTTGAAACATCCAGCCATGATTCTTGATGCACCCACCACTCCATGCCCCTTAGAGCAAGGAAACCACACACAGTAGCCATTACAGTGGTACCTCGGGTTAAGTACTTAATTTTTTCCGGAGGTCCATTCTTAACCTGAAACTGTTCTTAACCTGAAGCACCACTTTAGCTAATGGGGCCTCCCGCTGCTGCCGTGCCGCCAGAGCACGATTTCTGTTCTCATCCTGAAGCAAAGTTCTTAACCCAAGGTACTATTTCTGGGTTAGCGGAGTCTGTAACCTGAAGCGTATGTAACCTGAAGCGTATGTAACCTGAAGCGTATGTAACCCGAGGTACCACTGTACATGCACACACATATATGGACAGTGACATCACTCTGAAGGAGGAAGCGAGGACATGCTGGGATTCCCTGATGCTGACTACAGTGCAGCTAGCACAAGTTACCACCACTAGCCAGAAAGCACAGAAAACTGTCTGGACAAATGAGAGGGCAGGATGCCAAGAGGCAACACGAACTGTGCCGGGATATCCTGGGTTTCGGAAGCTGATCTAAGCCAGGGGTAGGCAACCTAAGGCCCATGGGCCACAAGCGGCCCACGGGGGTCGTTTAACTGGCTCACAAGCCGCCCCCAAACCGAGCCGCCCGCTTGGCAAGTCCCCACGCACAGTGCTAAACCAGTGCAGCGCAACATGGGGACTTGCTTCCGTGGTGCCAAAAATCGCGTCTGAGCAGATGCAGACACTGGAAATCATTTCTGTGCAGACGCCGTAAATCGCGGCCGCGCATGCTCATGCGCGCACAC